TAGTTCAAGTACAGCAATCTTAAATCGCGATTACTGTGACACTTTTAAGGCCGTTCTTCCTCTGACTTATGCAAAAAATACCTCTTCGATGACCAGCAGAATATTCAACTGTCAGGGCTTCCGCTAAACTAATGTAAAGTCAAGGAATTTTTACTGAAGAGGATAAACGATACAGAATAAGGCATTTTTCTGTCATCAGCATGTACTATCTCAAGGCTTCCCCAATTTATCTTGTTCTTTTTGACCTCACCTCACAGGAATATACAGAGCGAAGGCAATCACCTTTGCATAAACTGAAATGTCAGTGGGAAAACTGCACTTATCGGTGCACTCGTATCACCAACCTGACTTACCATCTGCGAATCCACACCCAGGAGAAGGTAATTGGCTGCCCAGACTGCGGCATTTTGTTCACGGCCGCCAACAAACTTCGCGATCACCTTTTTCGACAGCTGCCATCCCGCCTCAAAGATAATCAGGTGTTCTATACTTTTTTGTCCGTATCCTTTCTACTTTCGACCGCACTGGGTGGGGGTTGTAAAACTAACTTCCCTCATCCGAATAGTTACACTCTTTAGAAATGTTCCAGTACTGATTAGAGAGAGGAGATATAATTATCTTTAATATAGAGTGTGCGTCTGAGAACCAGACCCACGCGGTTTCCACCTCTTAGGGGGATTTCGGTCCCTTGGGACTTTTAAATGTGGCTGGGTCCCATCAAATGACCGTCATTTTGCGAACTGAAGTCTCTTTCTTCACTGCTAATAGGTGTTCGGCCATTCGTGTCAAGATTGTATCTTCTCCGCCGATATATTTACGCCGGAGTCGGCAAACAAACCATTGTTCCTTTCTATGGTAACCGCATTTTCACGCTATAACTTGACGCTATCCTACATGGGCTCAGGACCAGGTATTATAAGTTTGCTCACTTGATCCATCTAACTGTGCAAATTTAGTTCTCGAAACTTGGTGATGTCATTAAATCTTGCTAGTTTCCCAGTTTTTCTCTTATTCCAAGTTTGATTTAGTCCGTCTGCCCTCGGTGAAGTTTAACGCAATATGGCGAGGGAAATTGCCTATTAATTATCGTAGCTGGTAAATAAATGTCCGTATTGTTTAGTTTGTATACGTGCTTGACTTAGAGCTTTATTTTCGTTTTCTAACTTACAGACGGACAACTGTGATGAACAAATACCTACCTACAAATGTCCACGATGTTTTCGCATCTTCGGCAGTCAAGCTGTCCTCCAAATGCATATAAATCAGCACGTTAACAAAATCAAATGTCCACATTGTGACATGACTTTGCATGGCAATCATGGTGAGTAACATAAATGTGTCTTATGTTTAGGTGACTCCTATTTGATTGACTGTTTGCCATGTAATCTAGCTAGCAGTGTAATTTCAGCTGGTCAACCTACATTGAAATGTTGCTCATCGAGTCAGCAATGAGTGATCGTGTAGCGTTCTAATCTCAGAGGGTTGCTATTTTTTCCTCGGCCTTTCCGTCCTATATACTGCTTTCTTCTTTTGTGTGACTGCTTCTATGAGAGCCTCTCGGAGGAGGAAATAGGAAAAAAGGACAAAGGATGATCGGTCACGACCTATGACTGCGGTAGCCTTATCAGCGAAACTGGCGCCAATCCAGTGGGCGTTCTTTGAAAGGCCGATCTAATTTATTTCAGCTGAAATTCGACTTTACGCTACTGATACGGTTCTCTCCCATCTCGAAATAAGAACATCTAGATTAAAGCTAGGTCTCGTTTGACTGGTCATACACTATTTCGGTGTACGAATGACTCATTGCTCATGCCTTATATCACTTTAAGATATCAATGTTTCCGGTACAGTGGAACCTCGGTTAACGGGTTCCAGCACCGAGCTCGTCATCTGAAATGCTCGTTTTGCGGAAAGTTACCAATCAAACTACATCAGTTCACTGATTGACTGCAGGTGACCCGGGATCCACGCCCTGGAAGCAAGACTCAACGGCGGACACAGGCACATACATGCACTAGCAACTCGTTAACTGAGCGAAAGATCGTCAAGCAAAACAGATTTTATTCGAGTGGCTCGTTGATGGAACTGCTCGTCACCCAAGCGCCACCGTACATCCTGATACCCAACGCATACTAGTTGTTAGGCGATCCAAGTGACCGCTTCATATTTTCCGTAGTCATATCCACAATACTCAAGATTAACCACAGTAGGATGGTTACTTGTTGTTGTTTTTGTTATTTATAGCACGAACATTAAAAAGTTAATAACTATTTATGAAATAGAGATAGACTTCAATTTTTTTTAACGGACAGCGATCATTACGCCACTTAAATCTATCTACCATAATATGATTTTGGGTGGAATCCAGATTAATTTTTTTGTTTCTAATCTTCATTTTTTGGTTACGAGCGTTTTACGACTATTCTTTTGCAATTGGCTGTTTCGTCATTCATATATATTCCATGATTGTTCAAAAGTATGTGTTCCTGTCCACTCCTTGAACAGGACCTGATTTGAGTGAATCCTAATTTCGTAGCAGAATAGAGTTCTCAATGATTCTTTTGTCAATACAGACTGCCGTAAGGTCTTGTGTATTCACTGTGACTGTCCTCATGCGATGACCTTAAACTACCGGACCGCACACACTCTCGCGCACAGGCAAGCTAGCCCACGCGCAAGCCCAACTAGTCGCAGTTCTTCAAGGGCCGCTAATTCTGCGGATCAGGGGTGGCATTTTCCATGAATTTTCCAATAGCTGAACCAGAACCGTTGTTATGTAACTACCCAACTGCTGGAAGTTAATTTGCATTTTCAGCTAGAGATCTTCCAATAATTATTCGCTTGTCCCAGTCTTAACCCTTTATTGTACGGAACTGCGAAAAATCCAGACCCATTCTGGTTAACTGTCCTGTCAGACTGATTAATTTTCCGGATTACGATCTACAAGACAACGGGCTCATGGCTAACTTATAAAGCGTCGAACATAACACTCAGTTGTCAAGGGAGTCTTGTTTGAATCCCAGACAATTCAAACTCGGAGGCAAGGTATAACGAGCGAACGAAAGTTAACAAGCGAAAAA